ATTTTTACTTATTTGACTCCTCATTAGGGACATATTAACGTTAATCACCTTTTGAACAATTTTTATTTCAATAATATTTGATCTGTCCTATAGCATGCATATTTTTACGAATAAAAATTCAATACAAAATTACTTATATATATATATATATAATATTATAAAACCATAATTACGTTTTGTCAAATGTAATATTTCTTATATATGATAATGAACGAACAAAAGGAAATAAATTAGAATGATTAGTTTTACCGAGTAATGCTTATAAATTATAATATTTAAAGTGCAATGTATAAGATTAGATGTTAGATTGTAGATGTGAAAGTTGTGATAACGAATGTTTCATTTCATTGGACTTTCAAAATATATATATAATATATGTATGTAAAATATATAATATAAGCAAAGAGTATACTGTTAGCTAAGGACAGAAATGTAGAATATATTAGTATACTTATCTTGTTCTAATCAAAATTTAACTTATATATATATATATAACCTAGAAGTTGCCGCAAAAAAGTCGTTAGCTCAACTAACTAGAGTGTTCAGTTAATTCGTAGAATATTTGGTGAATGTATGAATTAACTGCAAGCGATCAGTTAATTCATAGATTAGCTAGGTAATGTACATACTTACGACAGACATAATGTAAGTTTTAATATTACAATCAGTTAATTCGTAGATTAGATTCTACTCGTTCCATTACATAATTGGTATCATTAAACAGTGTTTTTTTAATTATATACGCAATATACTATAGTTTAAAGTGTTTAAAATAGTAATTTAAGCAGATTTCATCAAATATATATATATATATATATATATATATATATATATATATATATTTTGACACGTTTAAAAGAGATGTACGTACGTGCATATATTCATGTATAAATAATGAGTATTTGGCAAGAGTTAAATTAAAGCTTACGAAATAGAACAATAAAGTTGATAAATATATCTGAGAATAAATAACAATCGAATAAAAGTCAGGATGAATGTTTATTTTCAATAAGATTGACACTAATATACATAGAAAATATTCGTATTTTTCGTGACTAAAAATAACTATTTCTCCGAGAGGAACAATGCGATGTAAAATGATGTTAAAATCCGTGTGTTACCAAAAATAGACACAGGGGTGGTGGATACATTTATGTTAAAATATATAGATATTTTTGTTATTAATTATTTTCTAAGAAAAATTTTTTAAAAGTTATACAATTTGTAGATATATACGTACAACTGTAAAATAATATATATTGTTAATGATTATTCGTTTAAAAAATTTCGTGATAATTATTATTGTTTTAAATAGAATTAGATTTGATTATTCATATAAACAACATTTTGTTTAAATATGTACTTTGAACAAAATTATTTTACCATTAATAGTATCGTTTTAAATAATATAAGATTTGTTTTTACAAATGTTTCCATAAAATCATAAATAACGAAGTTTATTTCGAAATAATTGTCACACCCTGTATATCTTGTTATCGACTCTTCCTTTGATCGTAGATTAGAAATTGGAACGCAAGATGGCGCCCTTATATCACGTCGAAAATTTTATTGTAAAACAAGGGGAAAAAGAAATTAACCTAAAATAATTTTTTTTTTATTTCTACACGCACACACACACATACAAAACCATCAAAACAAAAACAAAAAGATTAACAAATAAAAAATAAAGATCATTGACAAAATTTGAATCATTGAAATTGTTTCGTGTAATGCGAAACAAATAAAAAGAGTACATTGAAATTCGATAAAAAGATTTGGCGCGAAATGATGGCGCGTTAAACTCCATTTTGTTTTTTTTTTTGGTTTTAAATGTTCACGATCGAACGGGGCCACCACACGCATAAACGTAGATCAAATAAATGAATATCGACGATAGCAATAATTCGAATGTTTCCGATTATCGTGTATCTCTTTGCACACGAATCTTTTTATCTACCAACTATCTTTCTCGATCTTTCTTTATCTATTTCCATCTATCTGTCTCTTTCATTGGTTCGGCATTGCCATACCATATCAGCACAGTTCGCGAAATAGCGAATCGTGTCACATATATTTTTTGGCAATTGTGTTCTTTCGAAATTATGTGAGAATGACTTTGGCATTAGTCCAGCGTTCTGTAGAATGCGAGCAAGGGGACACAAGTCGCCTCTATACGAAGAAAGAAAGAAAGAAAGAAAGAGAAAAAGAGAAAGAGAAAGAGAAAGAGAGAAAGAGAAAGAGAAAGAGAGAGAGCAACGAACTCTAGGAAGCTACGGACAAGACCTCTTCTCTGTCTTTCTCTTTTTGTTCCATCTTGCGTTTTACCCGGACGACGTTTCCGTTTGGCATCTCTTCTTCTTCCTCCACCTCCACCTCCACCACCTCCTCCTCCTTCTTCTTCTACTTCTCCTTCTCCTTTTCTTGTTCCTCTTCCTTCTCATCTTTCTCCGCCACCTCCAATTCTTCTTTCACCATTCCTCCTCATTCCACCTCCCCCCCCACCCCGGTTCGTTCAATTCGGAAGTCAAAAAGAACTTTCAAACTTTTCGAACGATCGACGAATCACCGTGGAAGATGTGATTCTCGATCATTATCACGCGTTAAAAACTTTCCTCGACCTTGTCACCGTACAACCCTTGACTTCTCAAACCTCCCCTCCCCTCCCCACGCCCTCCCCATCACTCTGTCTCTCTCTCTTTCTCTTTCTTTTTCTTTCACTCTCTTTCTAACTTTTGTCTTTTATTTTTTTTTGGAAACTTGACTTTTTCTTTTTTCTTTTATTGGTTACTACTCGTCGAAGAAAGTAAAAGATAAAAATCTCTAAGTTGATTTAATCCGGATTAATCTGATCAAACGAAACCTGAACGAACGATCGTTAAGATCACGTGATTTCTAAACTAACTCTTCTACTCTTGTATCTGTTGTACCAATTACGACGAAAGGTAAAAGAAAAAGGAAAACAAAATATATATAAAACGAAAATGAAGAAGAAGATGAAGAAGAAGATGAAGAAGATGAAGAAGAGAAAGACGTGGAAGTAAGAAGAAAATTAAAAAATAAAAGGTAGGATAAACAAGTAGCAAGGATTGAGATCGTGATGAAAGTTAACAGAGTTAGTAGAAAGGTAAATTCAATATCTATCGAGTAATTAGCGATATTGGAATATCGAAATATTGACATTAAGAATATAGATTATGTGAGAAAAAGATCAAAAGAGATAGATAGATAGATAGTTAGATAGATAGATAGATAGATAGATAGAGAAAGAAAGAAAGAAAGAAAGAAAAAGTGAACGAGTACACACGAGTTCACGAGGTTGAGTACACGTTAGACAGAAAATATTGATAGAATCATCGTTTCATAAAGAGTGGATGTGCGAGGGACGTACACCTTCTCTCCCCATTTACCCCCGTTCACCCGAGTCCCTCGAGCATCCCTACCACCACCACCACCACCACCAGCACCACCACCACCAGCACCACCACCATTCGTTCTCGACTTCGTGCAGCAGGTGAACACAAAATATGGCCGGCCATTATTATTATGCGAAAATAAAACAAAAAAAAAAAAAGAAAGAAAATTCCTCCTCTTCCTTTATTTGATATTACCCCTTTTTGAAGAGAGAAATAGAGTCACGTGTTATCTCGTTTTAGGTCCTATCAAAAACTTTTTATCTTTTCTTGTTTTTTTTTTTTTTTTTTATCTTAAAAATTTATCTACGAACGATTGGTAATTTTTAGTTGGTAATTTTTAGTAATTAATTTTTTTTCATTTTTATAACAATTCGACGTATGTTATTAGATTTAAAACGATATTTATATATATATATATATATATATAAAATATTACAAAAAATTATTCTACACGTTTAATTTAAAATTAATACAAAATAAGATAAACAATTTGTGAAAAGAGACACGATCAAACAAAAATACAAATAGTTCGAATAAATGTTTATGACAAAAGAGAGAATGATAGAAAGTGAAGATGGAGGGGGTAGATGGTTGAGGGAAAGGTGCTGGAACAGAAAAAGAGAGAGAGAGAGAGAGTACATGATACTTGACAAGAAAAGTGAGAGAATTCGCAACGCTTGACTTTAACTTATTCATTTTTATCGAACGGCATTGACCAACGGGTAGAAGACGAGGCATCGTTTTTCCTCATCTTCCTGTGGTGTTCATCGTCGTCTTCTTCGTCTTCTTCGTCGTCGTCGTCGTCGTCGTCGTCGTATTCGTCGCCGTACATCATAAAAGCAGCCTTGGCAGGGCTGCAAGCTCGTGTCGCGTGTTCCCGGGTTCATCGACATCTCGCGCTCGATACGCGCGAGTACGCGCGAGAGAAGAGCAAAGTAATATCAGAATTCATCGCTCGAGAGCCGATTCCGTAGGGGGAGTTTGGGGGGAGTAGGTAGAAGGGGGTTTAGGGAGAACAGGGGGAAGGATGGGGGAGGGGGAGAAGGGGGTGGTGGTGTTATACGTACGTTGGTGGTGCTTGAACATAAGGGGGTGAGGATGGGTTTCGTACATACGTAAGAAAGAAAAAGAAGAGAAAACGAAAGAGTTAGTGAGAGTGAGAGAGAGAGAGAGAAGAGTGTATGAGAATGTAAAAGAGAGAAGAAGAGAGAAAGAGAGAGAGAGAGTATGAGAAAGTACGATGAGAAGAGTAGATGAGAAAGAGTGAAAAGCTCTCTCTCTCTACTTCCTCGTGAACCTCTTCGAGAACGTTTATAAGCGGACTTTTAGGGCGGCTGCCGGATGGAGGTTAGGGTTGGCGTCGAGGGGAACAGCCATGGAGATTTGGGGTTAGTACGGTGGCCGTAGTGGTGGTGGTGGTGGTGGTGGTGGTGGTGGTACTGGCAATGGTGGTGGTGATGGTGCCGTTGCCGCCACTGCTGCTGCTGCTGCTGCTGCTGCTGCTGCTGCTAGTGGTGGTCGTAGTGGTGGCGATGGTGGTGCTAGAGGTGGTGGTGGTGCTAGTGGTGGTGATGGTGGTGGTGGAAACGGTGGTGATGAGCGCGGCCAACTGCGCAGACCCCGAGTCTTTCGGGGAGCGACGAGTACGTAACACAACTCGGAACGAGTCAGTGAGGATCCGTGGCTCCTCTTTGCAGTGCACGTTGAAATCTCAGGGAGAGTCTTTCGTCTTTCTCTTTCTTTCTCTTTCTCTTTCTCTCTCTCTCTATCTCTATCTTTCTTCCTCTTTCTCTATCTATCTACCTATCTATCCATATTATATATATATAGCTATCCATTTATATATCTATCTTTCTCCGTCCCTCTTTTCTTTCATCATTCTCACCTGGTCTCTTCTATTCTCTCGACTTCTTTTTATTTTAAAACCACTCGTGTGTCTCCTCTTGCATCATTTTTCTCCTTTACCCACAGATCATCATCATCATCATCATCATCATCATCATCATCATCTTCGTAGTCTTCGTAGTCGTTGTCGTCGTTTCTTGGCAATTCTTTTCTCCTCTTAACAACTCTCACCTATCCCTCTTCTTATTCCCTCTCGAAAAATCCCTACCACCACCTTGATAACTCGTTAACTCACTCACTCCACTCACTCCACTCACTCCACTCTTTTCTTCTTGTTGTCTTTTTCTTTTCCTCTCACCTGTCCGTTCATCTCTCTCTTTTCTCTCTCTATCTCTTTCTTTCTCTTTCTTTCTATCTATCTATCTCTCTGTCTCTGTCTCTCTCACGAAGACTCTCGCGCGGCATCTCCCTCTCGAATTTTTATGGCAACGAAACAACACGCGTTGCCTCCTCTCGCGACGAACGTCGTGCTTCTCCCGTCTCACAATGCAATCACGTGGAGGTATGATCGTTCGATCGGTTTAGTAAAAGTCATCGATGTCAGTTAATCAACATTATTATTGTTCTCATCGTTTTCGTTTTCCTCGTTTTATCATTAAATTAATTAACAACAACAATAATAATAAATAATAATAATAATAATAACAACAACAATTACAACCAACAACAACATCAACAACAACAACAACAGCAAACAAGGATAAACTTAATAATTGATCATTAAGTTTCATTTTTTT